GCGCGCCTGGAATAGCTTCAACCCGCGGCCCCGCGCGCTAACGAGCCTGGCAGCGGGACGCTGGGGAGCTCTTTTGGCAACGTTTCCGTGTTGCTGGCTCCATGGCAAAGTGACAGAGAAAGGGGGTAAAATTCACGTCCCCTCCACCGGCAGGGATCAGGCGGCTGGAGCGCTCCTCGGCGGCAAAATCCCCCCACTAAAAGCCTTCCCCTCGGCTTTGAATTTAGTTAAATCACTCCACCTGGAGGATATCAGGGTCTCCCGAATGATCACGGTCCCCTGGCTTTGGGGACATCAGGGGGATGAAGCCTCTTCCCACAAGCAGAGACAACTGTGACTATCTCTGAAGGAGAAGCCCCGGGCTCTGATTTTCTCAGCTAAAATCAGATCCAAGACCCCCAGCTCATGGTGGGACGATGCTGCCATCTGGAATAACCTCATTCTTTTCCAGCTGGGAATGCCAGTTTGCAAGCAGAGCCCACCAGCATTCACTGGGATTGCTGCACAAGCCCAGCCTCAAACTGCTGCCAGACGAGGGTGACAACCCCTGCGCTCCCCATCGCCCTTTCCCTGCTGGATTCCCCCTCCGCAGGGCGGGCAGAGGGTACCAGGCACCCCGAAGGGCCCTTGCAGGAAAAGGAATGCTGGAAATTTCAGCATCGGATTTTGCCGGCCAGGGAGAGTCCAGTTTATAAAAATGCATTTCCCCTTCCACATGTATTCTTTTTCTCAAAGCAAACAAATGCAGGCAGATGTCATTACAGCTGCAGCTGTGCTCTGGACACCAGTCAACTCAAATATCTCTTTCCGATGCTGTCCCCTACCAGCCAAAACCAAGCTTAGAAATATAAAGCCAGGGAGCAGAGCAGTTCCCCAAAACTTCCTCTATTTGTCGTGTTAACAAGAAAACACAAGGTAAAGGGGTGAAAAGACGGGATCGGTGTCCAAGCTCCACTTGCTGCGGTGCAGCAAGCAGGACAAGCCGAGGGATGGGGTTTTGTGCTTGCTAATTGCGGGCATGTTCATCAGCGAGTCCAAAGCCTCCACTAATTTAGCTCAAAGCCAGCCCAAACCAGCCCAAAGTCAACCCAAAGCCAACCCAGAGTCAGCCACCCACATTGCTAGAACCCTCCAGTTAAATATCGGGGGGCAGGAGGGAGCGGGGAAGGACGCTGCAAGATAAAGGAGCTCTTGGCCACGCAAGGAGCAAGAGCAGCATCTGAAGTGAGTGTTCGAGGTGAGGGAAAAGGAGGAGGAGGAATGGCAGAGGCCTGTTTTCCTTCTCGAGCGGCCATGTATTTTGCCCAGAGCAAATGAAAATCAACGCAAGAGCGCTGAAGAGCAGCCAGTAAAATTAGATGGTAGCTCTCCGAGCGTGACAAATGGGCTTCCCCAACAAGTTGTGCTCATTAATCGCTGCTTTTATTTGTGTAATCCATCTAAAATCGCTCTCACCGCAGCTACAGCGCATTTCCCTCCATGATCCCAAACTTGATTTTTTTTCCCCTTTGCCTGCTCGGGTTGTGGGAAGCCCACGGCCCCCAGCCCTCTGCCACGTGTCTTCCCTCACCCAACACCTCCCCAGCACATCCCACAGGCAACACACTCGTTTAAGGAACCAAATTAAAATGAGACCCTTAGGTCGTTAGAAAGGCAACAAGTAATGTTCGTCTCCAGGGCTGCTGAGGAGAAATGGGCTTGAAAAGGAACGTGGAGGCAATGTCTGATCCTGTGGGGTGCAAAGCTGCCTTAAACCTCAGCGGGAGCTTTGCCTTGCTCTGCTGCTGCTTGGTGCGTGCTTGGAGAGGGTTTTTTAGAGGCAAGAAGCAAGAAGCCATCCCATGGGCTGTGGGGACAGGGGCGGGATGGGATGGGATGGGATGAGATGGGATGGGATGGACATGCCACAGTATTTACATCCCTTGCCACTTCCCTATTCACCCTCCCTGGGGTTATTTCTTCCCTCAGGGGATTTTCCCAGCACAGGGAACTGCTGGGTGTGCCTGGCCAGGAGCAGGCTCCCTGCAGGCAGCACTCCTGTGCCCACACAACCCTAACAAAAGCTACCGGAGCTGTTGCACTAGAAGCCTCTACCCTGTTCCAGCCATGCCAGAGATGGGGCCAAAACCACTGGCAAGGACCCAGCTCCAGGAATTTGTCCCCTGCATGGTCCCGCCAGCCACCAGCTGGGACACCACATTCACACGCACCCCTCCGACATCCCCGTTGGTCACTCTACCAGCCCAGGCTGGCCAGAACAACCCCAGTTCAAACCAGCCAGGCGAGTGTAAATGAACTCTGCGATGCTAAATGCCATCAGGGTCCAACTGGATGATAAAGACACATTTGCTTCCACGCATCATGTTATTTGAGGGACTGTGCAAAGGTCCCTCCACCCCACACAGCTCCAGCCTCCAGCCTCCTTGGTGTTTTTCCCATGAGGGTATTTTGGGGTCCTCCCAGCTCCCCCCTTCTCCGAGAGGCTCATATGCAGACATTAACCTCTCAGACGAGTAATTTCAGCTCTGAACCTAAACCAGTACCACCAACCACCTCAAACGCAGCCACCCCATGGACACCCAAGGGCAGCTGTAGACTTTTGGGGTGAAACCACCACATCCGTGATCCACACGCATCCTCACAGCAATGATGCAGCCCAGGCAGGTGGCTTCCATTCCAACATACACAAAGCCAGGGTCCCCTGCACCCTGTATCATCCACCCTCCCTCAAGTCTCCCCCTGTCCAGGTCTCCCTGCAGCCAAAGTACCAAGGAGGACACTCCCTCCTGGAAATATGCAGGGGAACTGCATA